TGGCCTCATTCTCCACCTAGAAGAAGAAAACCGTGGAAGTCCGTTTGGAGGAGCAGAGCTCTCGTGCAAATGGCAGATATCGGCAAGTAGAGCTGTGATCTGCGGTCATGTAAAAAGTGCAAGTATAGAGAAGACTCTTGAAGCGACCTGACAGAGCCTGAAAGCCAGTCCTGCGATCTGGGAGGTGTGCTGAGGTGGGGAGAATTGTCAGGGTCCTCACTGAGGGATCAGTCTGAGCCGGACAGCTGGAAGACCCAGAGGTTTGTACTGTTGACATGCAGCAAGAATTCTTGAGGCAAAAGAAGACTCTCGGCCCAATGTGAAAAGCAGAAGAAGGTCTGAGTGGCCTCAGGAAAGAAAATGGGAAAAAGAATGAAACACGTGGAGCTTAAGGAGAGACTGAGACTTGGCGGGGTCGAGGAAGGGGGAAGGTCTGCGATCAGCTCCCAAATACAAGCTGCAGACGCGCAAGAGGGCAGGAGCCGATTGCTGCCGTCGTGTTGCCGCAGAGGAATATCTCACCTAGAAGCTGGACAGCACAGCGCTAGATGGCCATCGAAGCAAGAACAGTTCATGGAATGCTGGCGCAGAAGGAACCTTGGGGCCACAAAACGGGGCATTGCTACGAAAGAAAAGCTACAGGCAGTAGAAGAGAGAGGGGTAAAAACTCCAGTCTTGGTTGCCGTGAGGTTGTCTTACTAGGTGAATGAAATGTGTGGGCGCTTAACGTGCTGGTATTGTACCTGTATGCAAAGTCTTACGAATAACAGCAGAGGAACTAAACAAATACATTAGCAGGGAACATTTTCCACAAGGTCCAGAAGGGGAAACGTTGGCTATCACCTGCCGACAAAGATTATTTTTCATTTGCCGCGCCAGAAAGCACAGCGTGTTTGTGTGCATTTCTGTCACGCGCTCTGGGCTTTATCTCGGGGTTTACCCCGAGCAAACAAAATGGTAAATTTTACTCGGAGGATGTGAAAGCAAATGAGCATCTGCCGACAAAGCTGGCTACGGGAGAAGAGGAAAGGCTGGGGCTGTCGCCAACCTGCCCGTTCCGGAGTACAGGGGGAATTACAAAGCCCCTTAGAGCTGGAGAGGGACGCGCGTGCCAGGTCCGGCTGGCAGAGCCGGCGTTTCAAAGGGATTTGGTATCTCACGCTGAGATGCTGTGACGGGATGTGCGGAATTCCGTTCTCTCTCAAGCAGGTATGTGGTGATGATATTTCAACGCTAGGAGCCTAGCAAAAAACGAATGGGCGAAGTTTTCCCCTGTGACTTGTGGCATGCCTCTACTTGCAAAAAACGTCCTTAAAACACTGCTATTCGGTAAATATGCCTTTTGGAAAAGAATGTGCTTTATATACAGTCAATTCATTTTTAACATATCCGGGAAAGAACTGATTGCTATCGATGCGGATATTTCTCAAAGGCGTGACGACCAGATCTAGACGTGGTCTGTGCTGTTTTGGCAAAAACCACTCACCTGTCCTGTGCTGGATTAACGTGTACTGTGACCGCCCGAGCCATCGCCCCGGGGAGAGCCTGGTGAAGGCAGGCTCGGGGTGGAAGGCTCGGTCCCTCGCGCAGCTGGACCAGGCCACCTCGGACACAGAAGAGGCACGGTGGACACCGCCACCGTAATGGGGCTTCGTCCCTGCTTTGGGTGGGGCTGGTGGCAGCATCCTCCCCTCCCCGTTGCAACTAGAGGCGGCCAGAGCATGGGTCAGGTCCCTGACCGAGCCCTCGAGTCTGCTGCCCAAATACGAGATGGAGAGGTCAGTGAGGCAGGGCACGGAATGCTCTT